AGTTATGTTTCCTCATGGACTTTAAAAAATAACTGGACATTAGCCTTTTTATTAGTTATATTTTCATTTTTTACAACAATTTATTTATTGAATTTGTTTATTTCATTACTTGGAAATGCTATTGATGATAGAAATAATGATGAATCTTTTTTACATCTAAGAAGCGAGGTAAAAAATATTTGTTAATAATTAATTAGAAATGACAAAAATAATTACTATATTTTTATTATTAGATATTGTCTGAAATTGAACTTTTTTGGATGTTACCTCATCAAAGAAGAAAGCATAATTGGTTTCCAGAAATTTTGTAATTAATTTTTATTTTTTATATTCTGAATATTAAATTATATATTAAATTATATATATTAATTTATAACTATAAATTTTCAGATATTACAAAGCTTCGGTTAAGGAGCTTAAAAAATATGTAGAAAGTGTCGAAGATAAAAAAAGCTTGCTTCCCCAAATTTTGAAGATTACTAAGACGGAAGATTCCGAAGAGAAATTAAAAAATCAAATAAACGAAGTCTTTAAAAATGAAACATTTAAAGATCAAATAAATGAATTCTTTGAGAATGAAAAATTTAAAAATCAAATAAATGAAGTATTGAAAAATCAAATGGACGAAACGCTGACAAATAAAACAAATGAATTGAAAAATCAAATGGACGAAATGTTGACAAATAAAACAAACGAATTAAAATATCAAATAATTGAATTGAAAAATCAAACGGACGAAACGTTGACAAATAAAATAAATGAAACATTAAAAGATCCGCTTGATAAAATTAATAAATTAATTGAGCTTATCGAAAAAAAAGAATCAGAATGATATAATTTTTCAGATTAGCAATTGTATGTACTGTACAAAATTTTAAATAGTATTTTTAAGAAATTTTATTTTAACTATCATATAGGTGCTTTGTTTTTTATTCGATAGATCTTTATTTTTATTATTTATTTTGTTTTTTTTTAAAATAAATATTTGTTTTTATTAAAAGTTTAATAAATCATCCACATTACGTAGCTTGAAGCTTTTATACCAGAAACAGCACGATGAAATCACATCGGTATTGTTTGTGGAAAGGTTAATCTGTGTAAAGTGAAAAATCTTAGAGTCTAGCTGAACACGTTACATATAATCAACTATTGGCACCTAATCTTATGAAACAAAAAATTACATCAAAATCATTTCATTATTAATGGACAAATAAATTTCAAAATTTTTTGGTGGCCAGACAAACTTTACGCATCCAGTTTCTAAATTTTCTAAATTTTTTAAACTTTTAATTTTGCATGCAATTTTCTTTATCAGATGGTGACTTGTTTTAGATTTTTTTAATTATCAAATATAAAAAAGTTATTATAGAGAAATTAGATAATTTTGGGCACTAATTTAAAATATAGATAGTCAAAAAGACTAATTTAAAATATAGATATCTAAACTAGCCACAAAATCAGGCTTGCCAAGGCAAATCTGATAAGGTGAATTGATTCATTTAGGGAACGTTAATAAAGTAACTATCATTACATAATTACAAAATAACTTGCATATTATTTATTATGACATTTTTCGCAACACCATACGAGTCAATATTATGGTGAATAGATCTTAAAAATCAATACTAGAATTGATTATTGAATCTTAAAATTCGATCAAATATATTTAACTCATCATTCTGTTATAAAGACTATATTTCAATTAATGCAGCAATATTCTGTAAACAGTAAACAGTATTTTTATAATATTACGGAATAAGATGCCAGAATTTTTTTTGAGTACAGTAAGATATTAGTGCTAAATAAACTTACAGCAATAAAATTTCTAATTTGGCGAATAACCATGTGCTTGGATTCTACATGCTATGAGCAGAATTCTATAATCGAAAATAAGAATCCATTTAAGTTTAAATATATTAAGAAATTTGTATTGTTTAAGCTTGAAAACTACGTTTATTATAAAAAAGATTCATAAAGTAGTACATAAAAACGTTGATAAAAGAAACTATTTATTTGTTGTAATAAAACGTCCTAAATTTGCATATCGAATCTTAAAAGTAATTTAAAATATATGATATAAAAAATTTTCTGTTTAAATAGAAAGATAGGATAAATATGTTGTTACATTGAATCTTATAATGTATACGCATGCACTGGAAGTTACATAACGATTTATCAACTTTTTTGAAAGCATTAACGATAATATGCTAAAGAAAAAGTGCGAAAAAAAGAAAACATGTGAAAGAAACAAAAACGTGAACAAAGCAGTGAACAACGAAACTAACTTTATAAAAAAGGTAAAAAATATGTGTAAAATAATAATAGGTATTGATTAAGAGTTTATATCAAACATGTGAGAAGATAAATAAATGAAAAGTATATGAAAACATTAAGTCCCCGAATCTCACCGGGTTGCTGTCATTTAGTTATACTGCAACGTAACTGACCGAGGCATTAAGATCCTCACGTATGCTATTTAATGATTTGGTAATAGGATACTTCCTATGAATGTTTAAAAAAAGAGAATGATCATTAAAATCTGTATCTGTATAATTGATACTTGCAAATATAGCTCCTGGAAGTAAATTCCATCTGTTTCCAGTATAAGTACGACTATTTGCTAATATGTACGTAAGTCTACAGGGTCTGTATCTCCATTGTTGTCCGGTTGGGCCAACAACACGGAAATTAGGGGTCTGTGTTATAATAGCGCAATTAATTCTAAATCTTAGGGTGTTACTGATTCGGTCATCTTGAAGATTGTATTGATAGCCACATATTTGTGTATTAATATTTCCAGCATTACGGAAATGATAACCAATAACATTTCTAGAATGTCCAAACGCATATCCAGGGTTATCATCAGGATTCAAAACGCAAGTTCCTAGCCAACAATTTTTAACATTTAAAGCTGAATGACTAATTGTTTTGATCCTCGTATGAGGTGGGAGCCTTGGAGGTTGATTTCCACCAGCATTACCGGTTTCATTACCGGCTTCATTATCATTTTCATTATCATTGTTATTATATTGAAAGTTTTTAGTCCAAATATAATCAATAGAATCATTATCAATTGGTCCAATGGGTAGATTCTCTACGTAGCCAATTAACATCCAAGGAATTGAGAGCTTAAAAGGATGTCTTGCTGGACCAATTCTATGGATTACGACGTATGGATTTTCATTATTTTGATAATCTACTCTAATTCCAAACACATTGCGATATGGTTTTACATTATTCATCACCACAACAGAAGTAAATATCTTAACACCATTAAATGTAGAAATTCCCTGTGGTCTATGTATATGTTGAATTACACAAGAACAATTTCTTGGTACGGCAATATTTAAAATATCGTTATGCAATAATTTCATTCCGATGACCTCTTTTATCCTTGAAATAAGTTCTTGCGGCAATAAATTAAATAATGACAAAAGTTCATTGTGTTCAATAATTTGCCAATGCTCAAAAAGTTTCAAATTTTCCAAATCAGTAAGGTCGGTGGCTTGTTCATCATTCACGCAAAGTTGGCCTCCAAGCCTAATGTCTTTTGACCTGTTGGTTATTAAACTTGTTGTAAAAGATGTAATATTTATTATAAAAGACTTGTAAGAATTTGTACTAACCAGAAAAATCCATATTCTTCTCCTATCCTATTTAAAGCTTCTCTTCGTCTCTGATTATCTGGTTGAGTTAATGCAATTTCAACTGCATTGATGTATTCTTGAGTGGGCTCTAAATCTTCCTGCAACAATCTAATAGAACCTTTCTTTACAATGAGTAACTTTCTTCCAGGATTTTCTGAGTTATGTTGTTCAAGTTTTTGTTCAATAATAACATCCATCATATGCGGCTTTCTGACGCGAAAAGCTTTTCTATTTGCTGGCTCGATATTATCATTATTTTTTTTATATCCCCTATCTATATGAAGCCTATCAACAATTTCGGGAAAACCTGGCTTTTTTAAGTCTTTCTCCAGATAAAAGGAAAATGATCCATCTTGTATATCTTCATTTGTCATAATCAAAATATCCTTAAGTTTACACTCAGGTTCTCTGGCAAGTGGTATCTTATTTTTAAATGCATTTCGGAAATTAGTGTTTTGTCGACCAATTAACGCCAAACCTTCTTGGCACAAGTATTCCCGCATTTCGTCTAATGTCATCAACAAAACCTTATTAATATCCGAAGGTTCTATTTCAAACTCTTTAAAGCTTTCATCACTGCTAACTATAACTCCTATTAATCTATGTGGAGCAATGTCGTTAGCGAACCCAAGATATTCCATACCGATATGTATTTAAAATAAATTATCTTGGAGTGAGAGGAGGATTTTAATAAAAAGGATAATGAAATAATTAAATGATTTCTGCCACTTAGAGTAACATTACAATTGGATACCGTTGAATTTTAATTATAAAATATTCTTCATATATGTTTATATTATATCTATTTTTGAAAAATGTTTTTTTATATTATTGATACACAAACACAACATTACGTAACGGTAACATTTTTTTTGAAGAAATACAAGGCCTCTCTTTACCTTTATAATCATGACAATAAAAAATAATAATAAAACTGACGTCCTCTCATCGTTTAATATATATCATTATCAAAAATTATTTATGAAAATTTTAATGTCATATCTATTAAAAAATGATAAAACTTTATTGAATGATTAAAAATACAAAGAAAAATTAACATCGCGAATACTTAAACCAAAAATTTTATTTTTAATAAAATATTAATAAAATCAAAAATATACATTATATTGACTGTGTTGGCAACGACAGAAACAACATATATAACTACGCTACACAATTTCACTAATGAAATTGTGTTAATGATGATCGATTCTAGCAAATTATAATCGAAAACATACCAAGCATGAACTGGAAAAAAAAAATTTTAATTCATATACTGTTCCTGATAGGATTCTTAAAAGGGCTCGACTTCAGTTTTTCATGATTTGACAGTGCAGAAACTTCATAATCTTATCATTAAAGTAGCATAGAAATTGAGTTGTGAATAAAAAAATTAGCTGTTACACGTATGGGCAATGACTTTCACTTTGCAATATATAATACCAGGAACGGTATATGAGGTGTGAAAGTGTTGTGTGTGCAAATCCGTGTATTTGATTTGCTATGCTTTTTTCACATACGTAGCATTATTTCTAAATTGCATCCAGCTCTATATTTTTGGTATCTCCGCAATGCATGCAACATTAATATCGTTGTTATTGTTATTGAACCAAGTCTGCTCTAGCGTTAGCACTAACACTAACACTTTTTCGATTGAAGCACAAAAAAAAACTAGTAATAAATACAAGTTATATCTCGTTTTCAGCTGGTTTATTTAACGGTTCTACTTTCATCACCTATTTTTGGAGAGTTCATTCATATATTGATCAGCATGCTGCATAATCTGATTAGGTTTCTCTATTTTCCTATTTTATTTGTTCAATGATACCTTTTCTATTTGAAGTCGTAAACAGTACGTATGTTGTTGATCTACAAATGCCAATGCCAACAAATAAGCAAATGGTATACAGCACAGGTATACGGTATTTACGATTCTTTAGTTTTTTGTATGAGCTTTAGATTTATAAACATTTCGAGAATTGTACATTATTCAAAGCTCTATTTCGATATCAAATGCGAATGGTATGCATTCATTATATAAATACATATATGGTTATATTGGAACAAATTTGCTATTTACTACTCTTGCTGATTATGCCATATTGTCATAATGCTATGATGTCATAACACCATACGGTTGAAATACTGCAATGAAAGATTATGAAAGAGTGCAACAAAAGATTAAGGATTGCTATAAAGAATTTGAAAAAGGAAGCATTTATAAATTGAAAAGGCAGCGATGAAAAATTAAGAAGAGATATTATATATTTGTTCGCAAATCTCTGATTGGCATACTGAAATTTATCTGCTTTTAGGAATAGTTTAACGTATGGTAATTAAAGGCAGGTTTAAACAAAAAGGAATTATTAATTTTAAAAATTCATGAATGAGGTGTCTATTATATTATGAATTAAATTGGTTCGTTCTATATTGCTAATATTTTATAAAGAGTCGGTTATTGACTGAATATTATTATGTTCTATAGGTTATGGAAAGCAAACAGACAATAAATAATTTTTATTTATATTTAGGATCACATCTTCCGTTCCTGATTTTGTGCGACATCTTATGTGCTAAATTAAGTGACACGTCCCCCCAATCACTAAATCAAGATCATGGGAGGATTAATTAATAATACCCTGATCAGTATATGAATAAGCGGAAACAAAGCTTCAGGTTATTATTATTACAAAAATACGGGATATCAATATAGAAATTGCTGGATAGGTTATATCCGGAAACCGGTGTTACTATCGAATTCGGGAGAGCTTCAGTAATGGGAGCCGATCTCAGCGATAGTGAACTAAAGGGGGACAACGGTTAGAAATGGCTTATATGCGAGAGGGGAACGATAATGCAATAAGAGTGATAAGGACGATGACGTCAAGATGATAAAATTGGTTAAGTTCACGGGAGAGAGATTTAATTGAATTAAATAAAGAAATCCTTAAAGATAATTTTGAAGGGTGCGATTGATTATGCAAGGGGGATAAAAGATGTATTAACGATTTATTACGATCGAAGTCGTTACGTGATTTGCTGGAGTTATCATAGTCGTAATAATTATATGACACTTGAGTAAATTTATTAATAAGATCGTGAAGATGTATTCACAATCTTTATTAGAGTCAAATTAAAGCCCTTAAAAATACATATTCGTCGTATATAAGTAACAACTTCCTTCTGCTCATTCATAAGATCTAGCTCTTTCTCCCATACTATATTCTAAGTTAGGACCTTTTCTGTCTATTAAACTCATCTTATCTTTTCTTTATAGCTTTCCTTCGGTGATTCTACTTGCTTCAAAACACTCATTCCGAATAGAACTTCACTGTTATTCTTTAACATGCCAGTGTACATGACTTATAAGACCAACTGATGTTTATAATAGTTGAATGCCTTGTGACCTATTTATGGATTTCCAGTTTTAGCATCACTTTTAGGAAGATGATATCAAACTGGTACTGAAAGAAAATAATTAGTAGAATCGTGCATTATGACTCGAATTGTATCTTAGTCATCTTGACTTGGCATATTCTTAGTCATCATGTAAGTAAAAATAATAACCAATTTTAGTGATAAGAAACATTGGGTATAGTGTATAAAATTGGAAAATATAAGAAACAAATATGATAATAAAATCTGGATATTGAGTATTAAAATAGAAATAGATAAGCAGACGAAGAAAAAAATGTTTGATTGTACAATTTGTTAAATTCAAAACATGGGACGTAAAGATTGTAACAGTTTTATTTATAATTATCGAGCTTCTGTAAGATCTTCAACTGTTAGTCTTTTGATAGCTGATTACTGTGAACTTTCTATTTTAACACTTTGTCGAGAATATGAAATTTGTAAGTAGCATTCCTGAAACCATCATAAATGTAAAAAGAAGTTTTTAATTTTTTTAAACTTATTTTTATAGTGCCTTTCAGAAATGAACAATAATGAAGTATTTTATTGCTGATAATATAGCTTTTAATTAAGTGAAGATGATTGTGCTTAAGTTGTTTTTTATAGGCCTTAATATGGGCTTGGAATAGGTCATCTAACAGCATCTCTATTCTTTAAAGAGGATAATGTTAAAGATCAGTTTTACTAGAAGGTAATGATTTTAGAATAAGAAAGGCTTATATCAAGTAATCAAGTATTTATTAGTATAATAAGCAAATAAGAGTAAAGAAATATATTGATTCTAGATATTTGTAAATTTAATGATGTATTTGGATAACATTTTGTAAAAGGTGTAATTAAACTGTTTAAGCAATTTACTAGTTTGAGGTGATAATTAAATAAATAATAATGGTTATTTATAATTAAGTACAAATTTATTAACAAGTTAGTTTAAAAGTATTTTTTTGATTCTATAGAGCTTATAAAGATTTCTATAATAACAAATAGCATCTGTTATAAAAAAAAGCAACTAACAAGACTGTAGTATTTAAAATAGTATATATTTTAGGTTATTTAATAAGATACTCAGTAGTTATTATATTATATTATTTTTTTGTTAACTGATCTTTTTGGAACTAGAAATTTTTTATTTAGTGTTAAAACATAATAGCTTCAAAGAACCTTCTTAATTAGAGAGTACACATCAGAAAAATTTTAAAAGTAATATATATTATTAGTAATTCTTAGATTACTAATGATATATAGCACTCTGCTGAGTATTATTTTTAGTAATTAATAACAATATATAACAAAATTTTGTTAAATTTTCTTAAACTTTGAATTTAGTTTTCTCAATAACTAGTAATTCAAATTTGTTAAAGTTTTATTGTAAATAGTATATATATTCAACTATATAATACTAAAGATTAATCAATTTAGATTAATTGTTATTGAGAAATAGCTTGTAAATAATAGTTAATTTTTTTAAAAAAATTAACTATTATTTATAAGTGATTTCTTAAGATTATTAATTTAAATTACTTGAAACTTTAGTATAATATAGATAAATATATATACTATTTACAATAAAAATTTTGACAGATTTGAATTACAGTTATTGAAAAAACTAAATTCAAAATTTAAAGAAAATTTAATAAAATTTATACAAATTGATAGTAATTATAATCATTTATAATTATTATATATAGATAAGCATTTTATATTGCTAATGATATATATTAATATATATTGATATATTTCTACTTAAAAATTTTACTAATGCAACTAGAGTACAATTAGTCATATATATATTTTTAGTATCTAATTTATATAGTTTACTTATATTATAGATTCTATATTAGATGTTATATTTGCAATTTAATTTTAAATATTATTTATTTAAATTCTTTATAACATAGTTCAATTTTATATTATTACAATAATATTTAGTATATATGTTAGTTAAGATTTATAAATACTAACTTACTTTAGAACAGCCAATGCACATTCTTAAAACATTGTTATCAGAACTTTCTGTTATTTTAATTTCTAATTAATTTGATATTTTCATTATAATTAAGACTAACACTTGCAATTAGATATAATCTTAAACTTTTATATCTTTATAGAGTTCATAAAATTCTATTACTTTCTTTATAACCTTATTGGTACTTTGTATACTCTTACAAGTTATTCTATATAATAATTTAGTTAGTTTTGCATGATATAACTTTATATTCAGATTAATTAGTAATTAGATTAACAAACCTTTTTTTCTAGAAATTCTTGCTATTACAGATTATTTGTCTTGAATTTTCTTTTTTAGATCAAAATTTTTATAAGTAATACTATTAAATAATTATTATATTGTAATACAGTGATTTATTATATAAATGTAAATACTTTACAAAATTATAACAAGCTGATTAAAAAAGATATTAGCTAAAATAATATTATAAATTCATTAAATCTAGAACTTTTAAATAAAAAAAGATTATAAAATTCTATATAATACTTTTTAAAATAATTAAGATTAAATAAAAAAATTTTTTTTTTTTAATATTAATAGTGAAACCATGCCTTTAACTTTATTAAAATTCAATTGAAGTTTTTATAAAGAAAAGCTTGCTTTTAAATTACATATGAAGAATAAAGACTCAGACATATAATCTGCAATCTAAATTTACAAGAGTTGCCAAAGCTCACCTAGATTTGGGTGTTAGTAATAATATATGAGAGAGGGATATAATATTTAATTTATTGGATAGTTTAAAGATCAATTTTAGTAATAATTTGTAGTATTGAGATAGAAGGTAATAGTAGACTAGAAAGATAATTATAAGTTGAATTTGTAGAAGATGTAATTGAAGACTGTACTAAACATGAAATACAATATAGATTCATAATTGTTTATATATTTGTTGGTTTAGATAAAGAAGAAATTTAATAGAAAAAGAGGTAGCTATTCAATAAAGAATAGAAATATTATAAATAATAAAAACAAGGTTGATAGGAACTAAGCCAGATAAAGTAGAAATAAAAGATGGTATATAAGAAAACTTGTGCAGTTTAAAAATGTTAAGTGTAAGAATTTCTTGATGTAAATTAGAAACAAAATTTGCAGACATGTCAAGGACCTAGCATTTAAGATGCAGTTAAGAGAATTAGAGATTAAATAGTAAATTGTTTGAATGGAAGGATAAAGAGTCCAATATAGTAAGGAACTAGTTTGGTTGCATTAGTGACAGAGAGAAGAATAAGAAGGGTTACATTTGTGAAGAATATAAGAAATAGGTAGTTCATTCAAAAGGATTTTAATATGAAAGGTTTTTAAAATAGAAAAATGAAAACTATGAGCAAAATTAGAGACTTTCTGATTGTTATTAATGTAAAGCCAAGTGGCTTTCTAGTAATATTAGATGCAATAGTAAACCATTGTTGAAAATGATGTTGGGATGTCCAAAATGTTATAATATAAGTTTGACAGATAGTACAGATAGAGTGTCAAATAGAAATTTTAATAGGAAATTGGTCAATAAATGAAATATATGCAGAGTTATAAGAGTTGTTATTTAGAAATATTAAGAAAAGTAGTATTTGATAACTATGAGCAAGCTGGTCAGCAAGATTATTGAATAGGACATCTTGGTGTATAATAACTTTATAAAAAGTAAGCTAAATATTGTATGAGTTAATAAAATTTATAAGAGTTTGCCAAATAGAAAAGTATGACATATGAGTATGAGAAAGTTTAGAAGCTAATGAGCAGATATTGTGATATTTGGAAATTACAGATTGTGAGTTAGTAAAGATATGAACAGAACAGTTTCTGGAAACTGTAATAATTGCTGAAAGGATAGCAAGAATTTCAGCTTTAAAAAAGCATGACCAAAGTTTAACTTGTGTCTAAAATAAATAAATAGTTGTAGAGTTATCAACTTGAACCCAGCCTATGCCTATAAAGCATTGAAAGGTACCAAGCTTAATAACAGAACTATCAATATAAAATAAGATAGTATTTAGGCTATAATTAGAATTAATAATAGACTGTAAACTGTCAGTAAGTTGACATGATTGAAAGCTATAAGATAATTGTTATGGATTGATTGTTAATGAGAGAGAAGATAGGAATTAAATAAAAAGTTAAATTTTTATAAATGTATAATTTACTAGTTTTTAATAATTTAATTTTCATATTTAATAATAATATTTAATTAAAATTTTTTAAAAATTTTTAAAAATTTAAAATTAAAACTAATTTGTTATACTAAACAAATTTTACTTAATAATTAAGTTTGATTTACTTAATAAATAGTTATGTTTTATATATATTTAAAATTAAAATTTATAAAAAAAATAAATATTACTATAAAACTCTCATCATAAATCATTTTACCTAAATTGACAAAAAGCAAAAAACTTTCTAGCAAGAATACAGCAATAACCACTAAGTAAACTAAACTTAGACTCTTAATTAAACTTGTTCTATATACTAAACTTGACCTATAAAAGATGTCAACCTCAGAAAAACCTCCAACTAGCAGTTCTGAATAGCAACAATACCAAAAACAGTACTGCAGAAAACAACTCGCACTCCAGCAAAAATGATCCTAAGGACCTTTACATTTTTACTAACTCAGCATACAGATACAAGATGTCAGCTCCAAAAAATACTAAAAAAATAGTAGAAAATCTACAAACTATCTACCACAAATTCCAAACTAAACAACCTTCCAAAGCATCTTTTTCTCTTCACCCTTAGCTTATTTTACAAGTAAACCTACTATTTCAAAGAATCCTTTATCTACAACTTTAATCACCAACTCCTCTATTAAATACACAAAAGAATTTATTAGTATTAATATAAATGACTCTGTTAAATTCACCTTTACTGTCACTTTTTTTGTCTCTGACTTTACTAACAAATATCTCTTTACAGTTGATCTTACCAAATCTAGTCATATCTCCAACCTCATTACCTTTTCAATACAATGATTATACAAGTACAAAAAAGCCTTCCAATCAATACTTTTTAACTTTACAACTACCAAAAACAACTCTGTAAACATTAGTGCCAAATTTCCCAGAAGCACACAAAGCTGTGACCTTAACCTAATTATTCAGTTATATAAAAAAGCACAAAAGGCATACAAGATACCTAAACACAGTAAAGACCTCCTAGTGATACCTTAAAACATAATTACAGAACTAGTACAGATGAAGAACTATCACAAACAAGTAACCTTATACAAGAGGATGAATTAACATTTGACCTTATTGCAGGTACAACTATAAATAACACACAAACTTAGCCTATAGTAGAAACACCAAATAGTACCATACAGGCTGAATACAAGACCCATACTAGAAGAAACAAATGCCCCTTCTTCTCACAACATACAAATGCAGAAATTAGCAAATCATCAGCTAAAGCAACAACAGCAACAACTGGCCAACACCAAAGCAAAAATGATCCAAATTACAACTGTTTAATACAAAAGGATTATCTAACCCAGAATCTTCTAACAATATTACTACATCATCACCAAAATTTATAACTACAATATCAGATACACAAAATACTACTAAACCAACTTATAGCCAAATTACACAAAAGCAGCTCAATAAACCTCAGTTCTATTACATCAATAACTTTGAATGGGCAAATATTTGCAAACCAAAATTATTAACAAAATTAATATATCATTT